CGATCCTCAGATTGCGAGTCGAGCATCTTAACCACCTGGCCATGCCGGGCCATTATGCTATGTCTGGCACCATATTATTCGATCAGAGAGGAGCAGGTTATTAGTTGGTGGTTCGCGCTGTTGGCCCCCCAGTGGCACAGCAGTTTTTGTCTGCAAACTTAGAACGCTAGAAACCGGGTATATGGGCAGAGCAGAGCTAGCCCTTTGTGTAACTCTGTGCTTTACTACAAACAAATAAACAAATCGTACTGTTGACTAGCTGCCTTCCATCTGGTTTATTAGTTCAAATTATGTACGGCTATATACAGATGACCCTTTGTTGTATAGCTTTGCGGGAAATTTTTGAAACAAAAAATCGGTTTTTGTTGCTCTACCATTTTGATATTTTTATTCTAATATCTTAAGATTACGTCATAGCTATTGTTTATTATTCCACATTACTTGTTATACTGTTTTCTTATAAACAACATTTTTGCATTTCATCAAAACACAATTATCCCAGTTTTACAAATTTATTCTTTCTATCTCGGAGGTTACTTTTAAGATTGGATTAAGTAATACTATCTTTCTTTTAGTGATTTGTAGCTTTTGGCTAATCGACTGTCATTGCCAATTAAAATAATGTATTTGAGGAAATTAATGTTTGACAAATTTATATATATATACAAAATATTCTGTCCCGGCATGGCCAGGTGGTTAGCGCGCTCGACTCGCAATCGTTGGTAAAAGGGTAGCCCAAGTGTTGGCGGTCGGTGGTGATGACTAGCTGCCTTCCCTCTAGTCTTAGACTGCTAAATTAGAGACGGCTAGTGCAGATAGCCCTCGTGTAGCTTTGTGCGAAATTCAAAACAAACAAACAATATATTTTTTACATTTTGCATAGCTGGAAAAAACGTATTTGCAAAAATAACACAATATGCCTGCAATATTTTTAACAAATGATACAAGGTTATGTAGAAGGCGACTAATTTAACAGTGTTAACAATTTTAAAATATTCAGGAACTTTGCTGATATGCAAAACAAAGTGGTCACACTATAAATGTGACAGAGTTCATTTACAAAACCTACTACAAGCGACAAAGATGGTTGGTACAAGATATTTGCAATCCCAGAGTTATACCAGCGAACGAGTTTGGAATTTGTAATGTTACGTAATTACCACAGAATTTGTCACCACAACGCTAGGTGGGTGTTTAACTTAGAAGGTTTCACAGGGTTCTGTGCCTGCCACTTTCAAGATTGATGATCCAATAAAAGTTTAATCTAATTTCCTCCCAAGGCCATGTAGAGCATGCCAAGAGACCACTTAGCGAGGTATAAAAAGGCGTTTATTACACGTGCTACTTGCGAAATTCATTGCTGTGATGGGTATAAATTTACGAAAAATACAAAGTCGTAACCTTTCAAGATAACGTTTAATAAATTTAATGAACTTCAGCGCACATACATAAGTACGAACATACATAATGTGTACATGTCAGATTAAATTAGTGTTCATTTATCCAGAACTGAGTTTGTCATTGCACAAACGTACCTCCAAATAATATATTTGTCAGGTTTAAGTACAAATAAGTAATTGGAAACATTTCTCCGAGTCAGGAGATAAAGTGTAGGAAAAATATACTCATTTAACCTTTAAATTAGGCTTAAAGCGAGCGTTTATCTTATATTTATTGACAAGACATTTTAATTAATACCAAAGAAAGATCACAGTTCTGTTAGCTTTGACATATGATTGTAGGACAGTGTTTTACAACAACATCCTGTATCTTCCATAACGTATTAAGTTCAATAACTAGGTGCTCCCTAGTGACTCAGCTATAAGCATGAACGTTTATAACGCTAAAATAAAACTTCCATTACCGTTGTGGACACCACACAGATCGTCCATTGTGTATTCTTGTACTTAAAAATAAACAAACAAAAATAACTAGGCTGAAAATATAGTCCCTTTTACATACAGTAAAGGAATAAATATAGGAGTCATCTTCAGGTAGGAATATTATCTGTGGAAGTAGGGTAGGACCCTTACTGCGATGTAGATACATTGTCTGTCTAACACATATTCGGTAAAAGTTCAAAGTGGTCCATATCTAATACGAAATTCTTTGCTAGCAGCCAGATATGAGAACGTAGTTGGTTCCAGTGAAACAAATTTGTTTGTTAGTTGAATTTCGGGCAAAGCATCTCGAAAATTATCTGCTCTAGCCTTCCCTACTATAGAATTGACAGACTCGAGGGTAAGCAGCTAGTCAACACAACCTAGTGTCAATTCTTGGGCAACTCTAATCGAATAGTTGGATTGACAGTTATGTTATAACGCCCCCCCCCCCATTGCTAAAAGAGCGAGCATGCTCGGTGATTGGATTTGAACTCTGAACCTGCAGGTTGTGAGTCGAGTGCCCTAACCACCAGCCCATTACAGGTCTCTAATGAAACAAGAAAGTAGAAGCCGAAAGTTGCTTTTTGAGTATCTTGTTTAAATAAAGGATCGTAAGTGAATTTTGAATTTTTTACTCAGAACTACATAAAGGTTGCCTGCGTACAGATGATAGGGAAGACTTCTAGTCAACAGCACCCACAACCAATTCTTTGACTGTTCTAATAATGCACCACCTGTTCCAAAGAGTGGAACGCGTTTTGCAGCAAACAGACTCGAAACGTGAACCATCCGATTCATTTCGAACACAATAATCAGTAAATCACGTCTGGGCTGACAACGGCAAAAAAAAAAAAAAGAACTATATATTTCTACTTTTGAAATGTTCAATGACGTTTTAAATATTAGATTTTCCCTAGAGTATTTTGATCGCAAAATTAACTTCTTAGTTAAGCTGGTTATGATAAAGTGCCGCAAAATTCGTTAAGAAAATAAAGTCATGTCATCAGGCACAGCATGTGTCAAAATGATTGCAAGATATATATATATTGGTAATAGTTAAGTTTCAAAAATGGTTATCGTTAAATTATGCTTGAATCGTTGACAGTATATTGCCCGTTGTTTAATCATTAACTTGCAGGAAAGTCTAATAGTTTACGTGCAAAAAATATCTTAAAAAACGGCGTTCATGAAGTTTTTAAATTATACAAATAGCTTTATTTTCTGTTTTATTGTAAGTCGTATAATTTGTTTTACATTTTTTAAAGTTAACTAACTTTAAGAAGCGTTGCAATTTCATTTCAATTTGTTTTAAAAGTAATTTGAGAATAACATTATACATTCTCCTTACCATTATTTTTATATTTCATAACTGAATGTATATGTGTGTGTATATGTATGTGTATGTTTTCTTATAGCAAAGCCACATCGAACTATCTGCTGTGCCCACCGTGAGGAATCGAATCCCTGATTTTAGCGTTGTAAATCCGAAGACTTACACCGGGGGACTTTAAAAAAAATAAAAGCATATTCTAGTAATCATAGTAGTAGCTACATGTTTTTAAGTATGATTACTCCTTCTGGTCAAAACAGTAAATGAATAGCGTGATTTAATTCCTAACGTCTGAAAATGTAAAAGAAAAATTACATTTATTTGTTAAATACTTATTATCTAATTACTATACTTTTCGATAAATGAATTGATGTTTTAATCAAGGAATAAATTAAATAATTAACAAATCGATAGAACAAAACGATTTCTTCTTATTCCGTTTTTCGACTGGGAGAGCAAAATATATATCGAAATGAACGCGATTTTACTGCGTGTATCTAACGATTGGAGTTGGTACTGTATGCATTTATAGTTATCTAGTCCTTGGAGCTGACAGTTGTGTAGTTTTGCAGTTAATTAGTTTCGGAGTTTGCACTGCATATTTGTAGTTATCTGGTGTTTTGAATTGATATTTCATAATTTTTCTAATTATCTAGTCTTTGGAGTTTGCAGCCAGTACATTTGCCCTTATCTTATGTTTGTAATCAACTAGTGCTTAGAATTGACACTTGCTTTTCTCTATGTTTGTAACTGACACTGGGTAGATTTATAACTAGTGCTTGGATTTGACATTGTATACATTTGTAGTTATCTAGTGTTTGGAGTTGACATTGTATTTCGTAGGTATCTAGCGTTTGGAGTTGACACTTTCGTAGTTATCTAGTGTAGACGTATAACTATGTAGTGTTTGTAATTGGCACTGTATACATTAAGATTTATTTTATTTAAGGTGTATTAACTGAAGTTTAAAAAAATATTTTTCTTATCAGCTATCTTTTTTGCTCCTACAAGTGAACTTATGCTAAAAATTATACTAAAAAGGAACTACTTAAGAGAAAATCAAGAAATGATGTCCTGTATATACTGTTATAGTGAAATCAACATTGTGAGTCATACAGGTATTAAAGTTATAGTCACAAACATAGTTGATTACACAAAACACTTATTATTTAGTTCTTTAAATTTGATAATTCATTGTTATTTTTCATTCCTCTTAGGTATCCTGGGTTCGTCAACGCGATCTGCACATACTAACTGTCGGTAGTTACACCTATACTAGTGATCAGAGGTTTAAATCCCTTCATCTAGAAGGTACAACTGACTGGACACTAAAGATTCAGTACACTCAAAAGCACGATGCTGGGGTATATGAATGCCAAGTTAGTACTGAACCAAAGATGAACCTAAGTATCAAGCTCAATGTAGTCGGTAAGAGGTTAAACATAAAGTTCAATGTAGTCGGTAAGAGGTTAAATATAAAGGTCAATGTAATCAGTAAGAGGTTAAATATAAAGTTCAATGTAGTCGGTTAGAGGTTAAATATAAAGTTCAATGTAGCTGGTAAGAGGTTAAATATAAAGTTCAATGTAGTCGGTAAGAGGTTAAATATAAAGTTCAATGTAGTCGGTAAGAGGTTAAATATAAAGTTCAATGTAGCTGGTAAGAGGTTAAATATAAAGTTCAATGTAGTCGGTTAGAGGTTAAATATAAAGTTCAATGTAGCTGATAAGATATCATATTGAGCATTATCGATAAATGGTAAAGCAGCAATTAAATTGTGTTTGGGAAGTGATAAAGCAGCAAACAAATTATGGTTAATAGATGAGATCAATATTAATGTAATCAGCAAGCCCATAAGTATCAAGCACACGGTTACGAATCAAGTGAGTACAATGTGGTTGATGTTTAACCAATATATATATGTGAATTATAATGTAAACTCTATATAGCTGCTTAATGTGATCGTTGAATGCATCTGCATCAAGATCAATGTAGATAAAATAAATCTAAATACAATGGAGAGATTGTTAATTTACAATGTTCTCACGTAGCTTTCAACCAATATATGTAATAAGGTTTTATTACTATCGAAATAATTAATCAAGGTGAAAAAAGTGGCCAATAAAAATTCCATTAGTTGTTTTATTTCCGCATAACGAGTATGTTTGTGTGCGTGTGAGTATTTTGTTATAGCAAAGCCACATTGAGTATCTACTGTGTCCACTGAGGGGAATCGAACCCTTGATTATAGCTAAAGACTGTCTCACCGATGGACTTACAATGTTAGAAACCGGGTTTCGATACCCGTGGTGGGTACAGCACTGATAGCCGAATGTGTAGCTTTGTGCTTAACGACAAAAACAAACAAATTTCGATTATAAAAAAAATTAAGTAACTTGAAAATGACTGGAGAGTTTTAGTTTGCCTCATATTATCGTTGAGACAGTGTGGTCTGCAAATCAGACATACCTTGTGCTATTATACTTTCACATCATACAAAACATTTAATTTCTTTTTAAAGTTTTAATTCAAAAAAATGTTAAATCCGATGAAAATCGTATGTCAATTCAACCTTTTTTGTAATATAAAGGTTATATACTATGTCAAGGGATAATTACATTGTATCCTATTTAACATTTGTATGTAGGACTGTTTTGCGAGTGTCACGTGGAGCCAAAATACGTCCAAATACTTGTAATCCATGTTTGTGTTTGGTCAGATTTTGAAACAATGTGCAGTATAAGATTAATGTCGGTATTTCCAGCGAGATTCATTTCTGAAATTGAAGAAGTCAAGATATATTACTGAAGTTGTGTTCATGTTTTGAGCTATACAACGTTCAGCTTTCTAAATGTGTGAACTTCTGTTAGTTAACAAGCAACATCATTTTAGTTCATCCAAGTAAAGTTATTTTCATCTTATATTGTTTTCATACAGTTTATTTTATATACTCTTATTATTTAAGTATACAATTACACCATATTCATCAAAATCCAAAAGTGTTCAGTGTTTCTTTTGCATCCTACTTGCAAATACCATGTTCATCTTTGCTCAACTTCACATTGTGTCTTGCCTCGCTCTTTCCACCTACAGTACGAGTTCCACGAATCTTCTGCAGTTGCGAAAATCATATAACTGTGTCCTTGGCTGACCCTAGGAACATCATAACAGTACCAGTAGAACTACTATATATTTAAAAAAATATAATTGTAGTTTACACAGTTATGTTCATAGCATTTGAAAGTATAAGACATATTTCCTTTAGATTACTATTGTTGATAGAATCAAATATAGCAATACTTCTTCTAAGTTCACAGTCACGTCCATTTTAACATTAGAGTGACTCTTGTGGTAACCCGTTTTCATGCAAACTAAATCTCTACATTTATTGGGCTAAAACAATCACCTGACACATTCTATTGTGCATACATGAATATATGAGGTTATACAAATGTATGATGAGAGAGTCCAAATAAAGTGGTCATTCAGTGTAGCAAACATATTTAGTGTAATGTATACGTTTTAAAATGAACCAAGTGAGCGCTCTGAGATGGAATTGGTGTTGCTCAGTTAATCTATATATATATTATAGCACAAAATGTTTGTCTGTTTGTTTCTTATCTAACCACTCTTAGCTCGCTAGGCCAATCTCAACCAAACTTTGTGGGATGATAGTCTGGAACAAGGGGCATATTAATGGTGTTCAAAACCTCCTCCACCCCAGACTATTGCTGCTATTGAGCATTTAGTATCTTCGACGTAAGTTTACGTTAACTACATTCATAGATGGCACCACGACCTTACATAAAATACAAAACAAAAAACGTTATTACATTTTCTATAACGCTGCCAATGACTGTCAGTTGTGCCCCTTGTTTCCACAGTGTTCCACCATTACGTCAAAGAGGTTGTACATTGCTTCCCGCCTCGACATTAATTGTAAGTAAATGGTATAATATAAATCTGTATATATATAAATAGTGTTACTTTGTAGTTTCCAAAACAGGCAACTTTGTGAAGTGCACACACAAACTACACACCTAACTAAGCGTGTCAATATGCCCAAACGAGTTTTAAAGTAATTGTATTCACTGAAATCAAAAATAGCCAAGAGGATCGAAAAAGGAAATCGCAAGAAACGGCAAAAGAAACTGCTGTAAGACAAACTCAAGCTCGGAAAAGGATAGCTAGAAGAAGAGCATAAAAGACACCTGATGAAAAGGCTGCAAAACAAGAGGAAACCGTGGCAAAATGACAAAAAAGAAGAGCGAAAGAATCAGTTGAAGAAATTGGTGCTGGAGGAGAACAAGCTAGAGAATATCAAGTTCAAAGAAGGGTTGCTGCTGCCTAATGGATATATAGAATGTATTTCAAAACAGCTTATGATTATAATCCAAATCATTATTATGAATCAGTGTCTGCATATGATGTTGGAAAAAAAATCTATAGAGTGTGATTTTTGCAGGGCAAAAAGGAATCCCAATGAAAAGCCAGGACTGTGTTGTGATGATGGTAAAGTTGAATTGCAACCTATGAGAGAACCACCACATCTTAGGGAAATACTGAAGAATCTAAAAGCACCTAACCAATATCAGTATACATAAATCACAAAAATATATGTGTTTGTCTGTTATCTAACTACTCCTACATCAGTGGGCCAATCTCAACCAAATTTTTGTGATGATAGTTTGGAACAAGGGGCACGTTAATGGGGGGTTCACAGTCCCTCCACTCCCATTATTGATGTTATTGAGCATTTATTGTCTTTGAGGTCAGATAACGTTAACTACATTCGTAAATGGCGCCACCTCCTTATACCATAAAACAAAAACAAAAAAATTAACTGTACTATAAAACAGCATGCACACAGTGTGGTGGAGAATACACAGACGTTCTATATGAAAATATGGCCGCAACTATTGCAACAACACAAACTTAGCTGAAATTTCTTCTCCAACAGCTACAATAGGCTGATATGAAAACATGCTTCTTGTGTTATACCCACTTCCTATTTTGAACCGCGACCTTTCAACTTCGGCCCGTAAGACACACTTCTGCGGCCAATGACCTTCAATTAATTAATTACGTGAAACACTCTAGAAGAACATTAAGAGCTGGGTGTTAAAAGCGGGTTACAGAAAGTACACTTACCGCCACCACTTTGGCCGCTACCTGTTTCATTCAAAGTCACCGTAACCAACGCACAGTGTGTACCATGTTTTAAGTATATATATATAATACATAGAGAGTTTTTAAGTCTTATATGAAATTTTTGGTGAGGTAATAATGAATACTGTAATAATATGTTATGTTATAAATAAATTCTATGAAAGTTCTATGAAAATTCTATCCGGAACAACGGATGGGTACCTCAGCTTGTATATTGATATTTCCAAGTTTATTATGTGTTCTGTGGTTAGTAGACCTCGTGCAAAATAACAGCTATAGTTCATGGTGTGCATGTTCTACATTAATGTGTTCTTTTACATTTCACTTTTTTATTTGGGCAGTTTTTTATGCTAATAAGCTATTTAAGAAAATGAACCTTTAGGAACATAAAAGTATAATATTTAGCTATAACACTTTAACGATATTTCACTGAGAATTTCAGACATGGTAACTTGAAAATAACGTATATTTTCTCTACTATAACACTTTTCTAGTGAATAGACATAATGACGCAGTCGACAGTGGGTGCATCACATATCTCACAGCTGGATATTTTTATTAGCTAAAGTCTGAAATGTGTATGCTATGTGACTCATCCGCATGCTTGCAAACTGAAAAACAAATTTACCTTGAATTAGACTCAAAATAGAGTGCCCTTTTGAACAACTGCTTGTATAAGATAATTATCTGTGATTCTGTTTCTTCACTACGTTGTAAAATATGTGTTTTATGTTTTTAAGTTGTCACTAATTTAATGCAATAACTTTGACTTCCTTACCTGCTCCCCAGTGGCACAGCGGTATATCTGCGGAATTACAACGCTAGAAACCGGGTTTCAATACCCATGGTGGGCAGAGTACAGATAGCCCTTGTGTAGCTTTGTGCATAATTAAAACAAACAAAGAAACTTCCTTACCTTCTCATGTGTGACAAGCTTACTTATAGGGGATTAACCACACTATATAAGAATGATTTATCTGTGTTAATACAATGGCGTTTCGCCACTCATGTGAAAGGTGGTGCCAAGACAACAAATATAGTACTTAAATAGTTGTTTGACGGAGAATCCTTGACTACACTATTATTAAATGCTGCCATAATTAGACTTATGCCTAATATGAATATGAATATGCCTCACCTCTTTCCCAGGAAAATATTTGTATAGCAAAATTGCTAAAGGATGTTGAGACAAAGCACATAATGTTTCGGATGTGCTTGAGAGCCTTCTGCGTTCGCCGTGAAAGCAGTAAACAAAACCCCTAGCCAATTAGAAGCAATGTTTTCACTCACCAAGAGGATATTGTGAAAATGAAAGTGAACCCTCTGACCCCCAAAGCTATTGCAATCAGTAAAAAGGGTTTGAAGTTGACGAAAGCTAAAACTTATTATGTTTCTAGCAATACCTTCAAATCAGCGACTGCTTTTATAAGTAAAATAATTCAAGAAATTGGAGTCACAGCAATTTTATTCGAACATCTAGCTATCAGATCTCACGTTAATGCTCAAACAAACCTTAGCACCCTTTGTCCGCTTAACGTGGTCTTGGGAGTCATGTCCATGTGTATGAGAGGAAGTTTCTTTAGATTTGTGGCCTAAAACCCATCTCGCCGTCCTGTTATAATGACATTCGAAATATTTGGCAAAAGTGCCTGATAATGACTAACACTCTAAACATGTGCGACAATGAAATAAGTAGTTCAAAGAGGAGCATAAAAAATGAAACATCGTTATTATAATTTCCGATTAGCTTTCTGTAAAATAAGAGTATTTTTCACATATTATAGAACTAGTAATCTACATTATAAAACAAAGAATTGTCATATTCTGGTTGTTTGTTAATAGTATCTTATTGCGACACGTATGAAACAGTTATTAAATACATAAGTAGATACAAAAAGTGTCATGACAACAAATTATTATTAACGAAGCACAAGGTCTTTAAAAATCAGCATAGTGTATTATTCGACTTTTGTGAAAATTCTAGTTTAAAAAAAAAGGATTTTTTACATTTTTCATCTTTAATTTATGTGTTGATTTAGTTGCCAAGGCAACAATTCCTGGTGGACCAAACATGTATATTCAGAGTGGTGGAACTTTCAACCTCACGTGCATCATCACAGACAACACCTCTCCTCCAACATATGTTTTCTGGTATCATGATGGCCGTATGATAAACTACGACTCCACCAGAGGTGTCAGCGTCATCACGAACAAAGAATCCAAATCTGTGAGTACGTTACAAATAGAAAATGCCAGTTCTTCACACTCTGGGAACTATTCCTGTACTCCATCGTATGCTGACCCAGCCAACATCACGGTCCACGTTCTAAATGGTGAGTTGAAAGCCTTATGCTAATTCCCAGTAAGGCGTATGTCAAAACTTAAAGTTCGTGATTATCATGGGTTTTATTAACGTCTCTATAATATGTTGTTGTCATTATTGCTGCACATAGTTCAGTGTAGCATACTTACATTAACCTAAGGTTCCAGCAGTAGCTTAGTTGTACAAACCATTTGACTGGTTGTGACTGAATAACAATTCAGGATCCTTGGAAGAACCAAGTATGAAAAAGAACTTAGGATCAAAGAGATTTTGGTAATAAACACAAACAAGCTTGGGCTAAATACATTGGCTAGTACAACTAAGCCACTCCGGGAACTTTGAATTACTGAAATGAAATTAGGAGATAAATAAATAAATAATGAATCTAATGTTGGGGTGAAACGTTCTTGGAAGGTTGTTTTATGATTGAAATTAGTCACTTATATTACCACAACGTTCGTTGAAACTGAGGAACTTTATTCACTCTAAATGATAGTAGAGCCCCCACCCCACTGGCTCAGCGGTAAGTCTAAAGGCTTATAATGATAAAAAAAAGTTTCATTACTCGTGATGAGCAGAAAACAGATAGCCCATTGTGTAGCTTTCTGCTTAACAATAAACGAATAAACTAACTAAAAGGTATTAGATAGCAGTAAATTATTATTAGACTAAAGTACGCAATATCGATATTTCTTCTTTGTTTATTGCACCACTCATCAACCACCTCCAGAGCAAAAGTGATGTCCCTTGCTATCAAAATAATAAGTTACAATGTTACTATCGCTTTCTTATGCTGCAATTTGTTGTTTCTATTGTAGCACATCATCATTAGAATGCAAGAAGTGGACGCTACGTCGATACTAAAAATCAAACAAACCTCTTTCGCATGTTTAAAATATATGATACAAGTTTTACGAAAAACGATAACTAGAATCGATACGTGCAAGCTATGTTAAATTGTGATGATTATCGGTCCAACATACTGGATCGAAACGGAAGTCTCTTCATTATACAAAGCTTAAAGTTTTATCAAAAAGACAATGTGTACTTGTTTGGTGAAACATATTTCAGCAAAGCAAAATATAAACCTATTTTTACGTACAGAAATACAGGTAAGGCATAAACGTAAAAAAAAACTTTTAAATGAAGTATTTAATTTGGCTTTTGAGAAGATATTGATTCAAATTCACAAAATATAATATCCGTTCTTATTGCAATAATCTAAAGATTATTTCAGCATTAACACACAAATGTTTATAAATATTTAATATATGTACCGTAAACCTTTGTTATTTTACTTTACTTTCCGTTATATTTGATTGTTTAAATGCAAATCTGCACAACTCTTTATCTATGGTGTACCCACCGTAGGTACCGAACCTTGAATTTCAACATTATATGCCCTCAAGCATACTTCTGTATTATTTTGGCCTTTCTTGATATTAATAGTAAGTAATGTTAAAGCTTTGGCTTTTAACTTTCAAAATGTCTTCACCTTTGAATATATTTCAAGATTTTTTTATATAAAACAAGCTGAGCTACTTGTCTTTTGTCCGTGTAATTAAGTAGTGAATATTAAGTTATGTCGTTTTTTCATTGCATTCCTCCATAGAGATCGCTAGCGCACTCTCTGAGATATATAATACGTTTGTGGTCTCTCCCCCACACTGTGTGTATGTTGCGTTACAAAAAATGTAATAAAGCTTTGTTGTGTAAGGACGAGGCGTCATCTATGAATGTAGTTGACGTTATGCCAAAGATAATAAATGCTCAATAACGGCAATAACGGGAGTGTGGGGGTGGGTGTGTATGAACGCTTCATTCAATAACATGTCCTTTGTTCCAAACTAGCATCCCACAAAATTTGGTTCAGACTGGTCCAGCGACTTAGGAGTAGTTAGATAACAGATAAACAGACAGATACATAGATTTTTGTGCTTTATGTATATAAATATTATTTAAGATATTATTATATTCTTCAATATTTTCTTTAAGGCGTACGTCAAGAGGAGGTGGTGGTTTTCTCAAATGTTGCAATTCAACTTTATCATTATCACAACATAGTTCTGGCTTTTCATTGGGATTCTTTTTTGCCCTTCAAAATCACATTCTATAGATCTTCTTACAACATCATATACAGACTCTGATTCATGATCATAACTTGGATCATAATCATAAGCTGTTTTGAAATACATTCTAGAACTCCATTCAGCAGCAGCAACCATTCTCTATCTTGTTCTCTTCTAGCAGCAGTTTCTGCAACTTATTCTTTCGCTCTTCTTCTTGTAATTCTGTCATGATTTCCTTCTTGTGTGGCAGCAGTTTCATCAGGTGTCTCTTGTGCTCTTCTTCTAGCTATCCTTTCCATATTTTGAGTTTGTCTTGTAGCAGTTTCTTTTACCATTTCTTGCAATTTCCTTTCTTCCATCCTCTTGGCTATTTTTCAGTTCCGTGAATACAATGAATTCAGAACTCGTTTGGGCATCTTGACACACTTAGGTAGGGTTATAGTTTGTATGTGCACTTCACAAAGTTGAATGTTTTGGAAACTACAAAGTAACACTACTTATATATATATATATACACAGATACATATTATACCATTTATTTACAACTACTGTTGAAGCGGAGAGCAACTGGCGACATCTTTGAAGTAATGGTGAAACACCGAAGAACTAAGGGTACATGTGTTCACTTTGTGCTCTGCCCACCACGGGCATCGAAACCCGGATTCTAGTGTTGTAAGTCCGCAGACATACTGCTGTGCCACTGGGGGCCGAAAGTCTTATAATGCTAAGAACTGAGTTTCGATACTCGTGGTGGGCAGAGCACAGGTAGCCCCCAAGTAGCACAGCGGTATGTCTGCGGACTTACAACGCTAGAAACCGGGTTTAGATACCCGTGGTGGGCAGAGCACAAATAGCCCATTGTGTAGCTCAGCGCTTAACAACAAACAGACAAACAAAAATCATCTAAAACTCTCATATCTACTGTTTCTTTCTAAAATGTTATCTCTGATTGATCTTGAATCATCAAATCTCCGATCACGTTTTCTTCCCGGATTATGTCAATATGAATTTTCTTCCTCTTGCTGATCATTCTGGTTTATAAATAGCAGGGCTAACATGTTACTATTGTATCTCTCTAGTATTTTAAATAATTAAGTAAATAAAAAACAGTCAAATCATAAATCTGTCAATTTGAATTTCTTTTAACAGATATTTAAATTTCAAAGCAAAGCTAATATAAATTAGACTAATATTATTTAAGCTCATGCTTTTAAACCACCTGAGTGCAATTTCTAACAATTTCTACACTTTCACATCAGGCTGACAAATCATGCTGACTAACTTTGATTTTTATTCTCTTTGTATTTGAGATGTCCAGTGCCTTAGTTTTTAATCAAACATTCTAGCGCACATATTGTCTCCAGACATTTCTCTCGCTTCTTCTGGTTCTCAATCACTGAAAAGAACAATGCAGTCAACTTTAATAAAATGTGTACTTTCTGTGATATAATGTTATTAGATTCGTCAGAGAGAAAAACAAACGTTATTTCAAAATCACAACATATATATTAATGTTCTATTATTCAACTCTTTTTTTCAGTTCTTTCTTTCACGTTTTAGAAAGTGAAAGGAACACGCAGCCTGTTTTTTTATTGGATACGTTGTTTTGAATTTTGATATTTTAAAACAGTATACTCTATTGAACTTAATATATCAAATTTTGTGACTATATACATTGAACGCCATGAAGCTCTCAAAAGGAGAATGTTTAAACAAAGACTGCACTAACATACATTGCAAAAACATATCTGACATTTATTTTATTCACGTGAAAAGTAGAGCTTATTTCTATTTTTAAAAATCATCGAGCTTATTCATATTGGCCATTTAATAGTAACAAAAATGTGTACGAAACCTGAGTAAATTTCTGATAAAACAAACTAACTTAAACATGGCTTAAATTAGTTTCTGTATAAAATATACTGACATCAGATGCATGTAAATGTACAGCGAGTTTTACGAAGTGCAGAGAATACCAACACCGATCCTATTTCATTCTTTTACATCTTATTAGTGGGATTTTTCCATTCGCTGTAAGCCAAATCTCTCACTTGTCCTTCGTATGTTAAAAGAAAAACATTGGGTCTTAAAGAAAAGTATTTGAAGACATTTTATTTTTAATCATTAAAACTATATATATTAGTATCCAGATGACCAACAGGCAATCAAATAAGTGGTCATGTTGTAGGATTCGCGAGAATGAGTGTATAATTAAGTGTTACAATAAAGAACTTGAATGGAGATATCTTAGCCATATACTAACAAAGAAATATCGGCGGCTATGTATGCACGTACGTAAGACTTTGTGTATGTTATTACTAATGTTAGGAACCATTTCGCCCTTGGGTGAAATCAAAGCACTTACTTTTAATAAAATGTATAATATTAAAAACTACAATTAAGTTAACATAATAGTTTTATATACAGATATAAGCCACTTTTATATTCCGTAATTTTTCTGCGAGGGTTTACGATTTGCTTCCGTTGCCGTCAAATCTAGCTCGCATTTCGGAGTTACAAGAATGACAGTCATATCCCACAATTCGGTCAGACAATAATACCCCAAAAACTGACAGTGTGTAGATGTTGACTGGTTGCCTTCCCTTTTGTCCACCAGTTAAAACTTTGGGACTCCTATGCGCAGATAACCCTTTGTGTAGTTTTGCGCAAAAGGTTTTGGAGGCAATACATGAAGCATTACAATAGCTTATAGATATGCTCATCATTACACCTAACTCTATTAGTGACCTACAATTAAATATTAACGTAAATACATTAATGTTCATGTGAGATAAAAAAATAATGCTTCAAAGAACTTTTTTTCCTTTCAATATCTTACATTACTGCAACTACATATAACTATTTATGTCCTAAGCATCTCTAACAATTTCTCTGAAGTTAAATAGATACCATTATTACGCTTGTTCATCATGTGTGTGTGTTTTTGTCAACTAATTCTTTCGAAAACAAATACATGGCCGAATTATTCTTAATTCCAGTTGTTCTATCAAACAAATAATTATTCCATCTTCTGAAATAAATTAAAAATATACATGTATGATTATACTATGTGGTATAGTAATATCACGTATCAAGACAACTAATACTGAGTAACAGACAATAACATATCAAGCCAACTACATTTAATAAATTAATACTTTTTTATACATAAAACTTTTAAGTTGTGTTACTGATCTGATCAAGTTAATGCACCTGCCTGGTTTTTTCTCTTCTTATTTTCGGAACACAGTTATTACAAACGTGAATCACAGTGTGTGTAGATCAAATTGTTTCACATATTACCAGTTATCTTGCTATTCATGCACTGTGTTACTTTTAACAGCTGGATGAAAGTTGATAAATGCATTTTCATGCAGAGTATAGAATCTTGAGATCGTATATTATTCTTAAAACAAATTTGTATCAAGGTAATTTTTACCATACACGCTCTGTTATTGCCTTTTTTATTATTTTATATGAATGCCTTTAGCTTATATAATCTTTATATGTATATACGTATATGTATACATAACGGTGTGATATTCTCGATATATACAAGTATTCAAGGCACCACCAGGTACAAGAACAACGTTTCGACCTTCTTAGGTCATATTTAGGTTAACAAAGACAGTTTGAAACTGACCGTTACTGGGTGCATGTTTTAGGGATGAGAGTGTGAACAGGTACGAGATTGTAGGGGGCGTAGCACTTAGATGTTAGGTGATTAATATAGGTATAAAGGTGTTGGTTTAATTTTGGTTTGAGTTCTTGTATAATTCTTTGATTTTTCGTTTGTATGGCTTTGTTTCTCTACTTAATATGTTGGTGTTGTCTATGCTTCTGTTGTGTTTAGTCGAGGCAGTTGTTGCATTGAATTTTATAAATAATGTTGGTGTTATGTTTGTCAGTGTAGTTTTTACATAGTATGGATTTTAGTTTTGTGCCCGGTTTTTGAATGAATTTAGTGGTTATTGGAATGTTATGTTTTGTTGTAAGTTTTTCCAAATGTTGATTATTTTATCTCTAATATCTGGAATATACAGTATGCAACAGTGCAGGATTTTATAGTTAGTTGTTGTTTCATTCTATTTATTATTGTTTGTTTGCTGATGATTGTGTTGTTGGCCTAGGTATGTGTGTATGATTTTTTCGACGGTTTTTGAAGGAAATTGATTGAAGTTGAGGAAGTGTTGTTTTAATTTTTTGATTTTATCGTTAATTTTATCGGGTGAGAATAGTTTTGTGGCTGTGTTTATTTGTTTTTTAATATGTTGAGTTTTTGTTTTGTTCCATGTGTTGAGTCTCAGGGAATGTATAGTCCAATAGGGGTAATTTTTTGTGGATATCTGTTTTGAATTGTGTTTCGGTTCTTGGGATGTTGAGGTTGAGAAATGTTATTTGTTTAGCTTTCTCGTATTCACGTGTGAATTTAATGTTGGAGTGTATGGAGTTAACGTGGTTGAAAAAACTAAGTGTGTGTTCTGTAGATGTAAATCCAGCAAATGTATCGTCAACATATCTGTACCAGTATATTGGTGGGTGTAAGGCTGAATTGATCGCTTGAGATTCAATCTGTGACATGAAAATGTTAGGTAGAATTTGTGACACAGGATTGCCCATACATAAGCCGTTTATTTGTATGTAATTTTGGTTGTTGAACATGAAGTTGGTTTTCTTTATAAAAGAGTTAGCACAAAAGATTACATATAAATTGTAATAAACTTAAAATAAGACCCAAAACTCGCGCGCTTTCGAATAGTTGACTATTGTTCTTCAGGAGAACAAAGTTGGTTTTGGTGATAGTGAATTCTAGAAGAGTTGCTAGTTGGTTGTTGTGAATGTGTATTAATGAGTTGGGGTATTGGATATAAAGTTCTAAAGCTATCTTGCAGGCTTCAGTAGTTGGGATTTCAGTGAAAAGGGAGATTACATCAAAACTGGCCATTAAGACTTTATGATTTAGTTGATCCAAAATAGACTTAAAGTTAAAAGAGTCTTTAAAAAAGGATTTCTGACATTTTGCTCTATTCATTTTTGTAAGTTGTTTTCTGAAATATACTTTACAAAGAACAATTATTCACTGAATAAGAGGGAAAAAAGTGACTTGTTGCCCGAAATCACCAGTCAATAATTGTTTTATTCTACCCGCCTGTTCTGTTTTCAGTTTTACTAAAATCTGATTAACTAGCTTTGTCGCATAGAATATTAAGCCTACATAGCCGGGCTTACGTATAAACTTTAAAGTCAAACATTTAATTGAGTGTTTTGATTTCATTTTAAGAATCAATAATATTTAGAAATTGTTTAATTTTCAAAATATAACAGCTCCCCATCATGTTACCACACCAATTAACGTATAATGTACGTACCCGTATAACTTTAACATAAAATCTGCCTAAAATATGTCTAAGTGAATCAAAGTGTTTTCTATTTTCGTTTGCAAATTTCTGCTGCCTATACGACTCTGCAGCTCTTCATCTGTAAGTACTGAAATCTTAAGTTATAAAATAAGTCCACCTTCATTTGATGGATTTGAGCAAATTGTTTGTAATCAGGACTAAATGAATTAAGGTATTTTCACCATGCTGCAAAAAAACTCGTCTGCAAAGTTCTGCTGCGACATTTATGCATGTATGGCAAAGGCCTGGCAACTTTCAAGGCAACATTAAAAATGTTTCATACCACATGATGCACTCTCGACCTATCACGGCAAACAATTCATGCTAGGAAGTAGAATAATAAATTTTATAGTACCACTGTATTCATATGTAGACTAAAAATGACGTCTTTTAAAGAAATGGTAACTAATTATTTCGAGAAAATATTTTAGCCAGCAAATTGCTTGTAAAACTATATGTTCCAACGTTTTATAATGTGACTCAAAATATAAGCTTTAATTTGAAACAAATAATAGTAGAACATTTATATTACATTTTCCTGTTTTATACAAAGCTAAAATATCTTCGCGTGTTGGTCTCTAGTTTTGAAATAACAGATCAGAGAGAAGGCCGTAACACCCATTGTCACCTCTTATCTGATCGAATATGGGATTATAGCAACAGGACGCGAATCATGAATCCTCAAATTTACAGATCGAACGTATGTCTGATCAGATCCAAGATTTAATACTCACAAGCAGTTTATCAAAATCTAGTATTTCAAATTTGGGTGGCAATTTATCTGTTTATTATCATATGAAAATTATTTTACTCCAATCAAAACAAAGAGGAATGAAAGCTTGACGTATTTACCTTTTTCTTTTCTGTACAAGTAATATCATTGATCTTGTACTGATGTCAGATACGGCCTCAAAACTACATTTATGAATTCACTGCAAAAATACATTTTAATAGATAATTACCCGAAACTGAATAAACAGTAAGAAATCAAACTGGACCCGAATGTCTAATTTCCGATATGTATAATATTTTTTCTGTCATTCCAAATCTCTCTTATACAACTTTTGATCTTGTAAATCGGTTGCTAAAGTTTTATTGTAACAAGTTTATGCATGGGAGAGAGATCAATCTAAGCTGTCAATTTAAATCGGTTTACAAGGCCAGAACAAAGGCACAAAATTCATTAGAGTCTTATGGCGGACTTGACAGGTGTGTAGTCGAATTGGATACTTATGATTCAAGTTTTTTCAGCCGTCTTTCTCATAAAAACAGCTGTTAATTTCGAAGAGTGGCTAACAACTGGTGACCTTATAGTTTGTGAACCTACGTCAACATAATTATTCGTTATTATTTTATTATCAATACCGGAATATATTTATATATTCACTGCAATGGCTCATTGGAGGAGAGTCGTAACTTTAGTTTTTAATTTTATGCTTTTGCTTGCCCTAAACTGTTATACAAGATTTTCAGTTTCAATGGAGGACACTGAAAGCTCACATTTTTGAATAGTTTAAGAATCTTTCCTTGGATATAAAACTCTTCACAAGTCTAACTATGGTTACATTCCACTGTAGACTAATCGGGAATTCGCCGTCATATATATATATATAGATTATAAATAATTCGCGCATGATGATGGGACATGTCGTTCTTATAATGTGTGATTAGTGTATGATTTTTGTTGTCAGTATATAGTGGTCATAACATTGGTATTTTATAAGTTTATTTTACGCTGAAGACTTTTTAAAAATGGTATAAAAGAACTCTAAATGTAATGTAGAATTATAATTTGTTTTTGTTTTAGTCACCATTTTGAAATATATACTTACCTGTGTGTATATATAAGCAAATCTAGGATAGAGAGTAAAACTAAACTTTTTAAGGTGGTATAAATGTTTCAATAATTTTCAGGAGAGAATCCAGCAGCCATGCATCATGGTGGAAAGGCCAACCAAAGTGAACGATGTTTCCACGTGAATGTCCATTTCCTTCTTCTTGTTCTACTCCAGTTAACAGTCTTCCTAATTGCTAGGTAGCTTTACTGAAACAAGGCTGTTAAACAACTAACTACTCAGAATATTGTTTGTACTGAAATCCCCTGTTTTTTCACGTTTCGCCTCTTATCAAGTCAACAGACCATGATTTTAAAAGAAGACTAGAAAACCTGGTGTGATCCAAAATATTAACACTAACCTGTCTCGACTTCATACCCATCTTCAGAAATTTCCGTTGGCGTAGCGATGTGTGTGTTTATGTGTTTATGTAAAGGTTTGTGCACATATCATATAAAACTATATGGATATGCATGAACCAGTAATAACCAAACCGAGGTTACATCTGCTATTCATGTTGGCCATAATTAGGGCTTGTAATTTAGCATTGTTCATTTGGTTAACATTTATTTTATGTTGGGATAGAAGCTTCGTGAAACGCTAGTAGTCTGTTTAAAGTAATAATCAACTGTATGAACACTAAAATGATATCTATTCAAAGATTCAGGAAACACTTTATTTTCTTGTTCTTTGTCAAGATATCAGGCCAGCTGCGTAAATCAGTAGTTGTTAATGTCTTGAACATACAAAACCACTGCAGCTAACTGTTCGACACTTATATATGGTTAACACGTTTCTTTGCTGAATTCATTAAATGGGATGTGACAGTCATTAATATAACTGCAACTTATTATAAGCATACCTTTATTATGAAAATATACGAAAAAATGACAAACATATGACTAACAAAATATTCCAGTACTGTAGTTGAGAAGCTTATTAACCCTCGAAAAAAATCTTGAAGACTCTCAAGATTCATTTTGATAGCTTCGTTCCAATAAAAGGATGATCGTTGTTTATATAAAAGAACGTTGAATGTGAGTCACATATAGTCTTATAATAAACAAATGGTTCATGTAAAAGTTGGAATGAGAAATAGATTAACATTTGAGACATTGTTGACCAAAGAAGTGGACTAGTAGCATTGACGGATTTGTTGATAACGTAAGTCAAAGAAGTGAATGGATGATTTGAGGGGAAAAAATCGACTTCTTGTGATTAGTATCCGATCTCATAGTTACCGAAAATCGAGTTGTCGGACAAAATAAGATATTTAATATAGAAAAAACTATACTAGAATTTCTATTTGTAACTTATATAGAAGTGTACGATGTCAAAATAATCAAATGTAAAGTTTTATGAAAAATTCAGTTTCCATTGTGTGACTGTTAAGCAAAGCTATACTTCTACTATCAAACCCAATTAAACACATATTTCGACACCATTTTAAAAAATATTATTTATTATTGTTTTCCTAATCATAGTTGTCTTTGTTTAAATAACGTTAATGTGCTTGATAAACGTTAGGGCAATGTGAGCTTAAAAGAAAAATGTAACAGTTGTAATTGAATCTCACCCGTATTCCTTAGCAAAAGTTTCGTGACTGGATTAGTGAAAGAAGTTGTAGCAAAATGTGTATGTCATATTAATAAATGTATACTATCCATGTCAAAAGCGTTGTCTGATGAGCAAAAATACACTAATTGATAACAAGCATTTCATTAACTACATTGGTCACGATTTTATTAATTTCTTCTTTTAACACCCATTCTGATTTTTTGAAAACAAGTTACATAAAACATCTAACGAACTTAAGACACCAGGGAATACTGTGTTTTAAAGGAATGAATGCAATACCTAATTATTCTATAAAAGTATTCTTAACATAAAGATAAATAATTAAAAATAAAAGAATGTTTCCATCTTTTATTTTACCACAGTGAGCTTCTGGAAAATGTCAGGTGCCAAAAGTACACAAAGAGGAATTCCTTCTTTTGGCCACGTCAAGTCACCAAATGGTTAAAACTTAAATCCTGTACTCGATCTCACAGTGTATTTTAAATTGATTGTTATAATATTTTTACTGGATCTTATTCCGAACTTATTTTATTAATTAGGTGTTGCTGTCATTTATCAACTAACTTTATGAGTTGCAAGGAATTTTTAACTTTTTTTTTTGTTGTTGTTGAATATGCTCTTAAAATAGTTTGAATTCTATACTTAAAACTTTGCAGTTCATTCAAAGGGACAAAAATATGATATTAAAATCACTCTATTGAAACTTTCTGCCTGCAACGAAGGTTTTCTAGCCTTTAAGATATTTTAATTACCAAAGACGTCCATTAATGAGGACTGGTTAAAGAAAGACAGACGTGATGAAGTTATACGTTGTTTATTTATTAAGGGTTAGCGACATATGATATTAGTTTAAAAAATAAGGTTGAAGACTTACACAGAGTCCCATTTTCCACCAATTTGGACGTTTTTTTTATTAATTAAGGGTTAGCGACATGAGATTAGTTTCAAAAAATAAGGTTGAAGACTTACACAGAGTCCCATTTTCCACCAATTTGGACGTTTTTTTATTCATTAAGGGTTAGCGAGATGAGATTAGTTTCAAAAAATAAGGTTGAAGACTTACACAGAGTCCCATTTTCCACCAATTTGGCCAGATATCACTGAAGAGAACTCGACAAACGCAAAATCTTATATCCTTGCGTGATATAAAAATATTTATTTTATTTTTAAGACGAAATTTTAACTCTAACATACGGAAAAATTGGTGAGTTCAGATTTCTCAAAATCGAATCTTATAAACTGGTTTTTAGGGATAAAAACGTCACTATAATACAGCGGTCTTTCTATACCATGAATAAAAATCCAAGTACATAAATAATATAACACAACGGTACCCACAGTAAAGGCAGATTGCAACGCCATTTTGTTCTTTTTATTTCAGTACAGACTTGTATGCTTCTAAGACCGTGTTAAAAAAAAGCTGGTTACGATGATTGGTTTGAGAATATGCTTATGTATCAAAACGCAACAGTACATATATATGGTCTCGTAAAATTGAGTTGTAATGTATCTATCACTGCCACTGCTGATTCCAATTTTTAGGAAGCTCTGAAGCAGTTTGCTTTCATTAATTTCTCTCATTTAAAATTTCGATCGATATTTATTTATTCTGTTTACCTTACTTGCTCCTCTATAAAACTATACAAATCGTGATCCAAGTTTTAGACTGTCTTTCTTGTTCATAGATTACTTCAATCTTCTTTAATTAAGCATTAAGTAAAAGAACGCTGTTTTACCTACATTGAAAATATAATTATTTATGTTGATATTTGATTTATTTTCTTTTTAGATTATTTTTTCAACTTTTTTGAAGAAAAACAGTGTTGTCTTAATTTTAAAAGCAAGATCTAAGGTTCTTGAATACATAGACCTAGGTTTAGGAGATTTTTCGAAAAACATTTTAATGTCATTAAATATACATATATAGTCTTGCCTTTTATTCTGGAAATGTCATTATTGTTGACATTTCAAAATTTTAATAAACAATAATTGTTCCTCATTTTATAGGTAACGTGATGAATTCTAGAGTGTGCTTCAAAGATACTGTACTAAAGATGTTGATAAAATTTATAGCTAATTTGATAATTTAAGCATCAGTTATGCTTTTATCATTTCACGTATTTCTCAAAAGTTCTTCCATGGCCAAGAATATGATTTAATGTTCTGGGAAATGTGTTTCGGTATAGCGAAGTTTCATTTGTTAGCAACTTTAAATTATAATGCTTTAAAGCGTTTGTGAACTGTTCGTGCTAATCCTGATATGTGAATTGGCATATAATTGTCACATCAACTTTTTATACAAAGTTAATATATGTTAACTAATTTGTTGGTCTTATAAATACAACGCAAAGTTAAACTATTATTATATTTCGATGTCGATTATAACTACCAGCGATGTTTAACATCATAGTAAAACTACATAATGTTCAAATAGAGTTAAAGGTAAAGATAAATGGAATATGCTCAAAATATGTAGTTTCTCGGGGTCTTTTGCTTTTGAGCCTGGTCCGAAAGCAACTCAGTGGTTATCGTGCCGTACTTTAGATCTAAGGTTTCGCGGTTTTCGTTCCGTTACCGCCAAAAAAAATCGTACTTTGCACTTCGGGGTGTGAGTACGTTAGAGAAGTGACAGTCCAATTTCACTGTTCAGCCTGAGAAGAGTGGCTCAAGAGTTGGTAATTTTGACTGACTGCCTTCCCTGTAGTCTATCAATTAGAAAATTATGGAACACAGCTATATTCAATAAAATAAACAGACGTGTTAATTGGCTGCCTCCGCTGTAGTCTATCAATTCTAAATTAGAGAAGATTAACACAGATATATTCAATAAAACAAACATACGTGATAACTGACTGCCTCCACTGTAGTCTATCAATTCAAAATTCGGGACGGTTAACACAGATATCTATATAAATATAATAGTACTGTCTGTTGTATGTCCATGTAATTACTTCGCAGATCTTAGATGGATATTCACCAAAATTAGTATGGAGATTCATGTGGTGATACATAAAAATTTTCAGTTTTACATTTTGTGTTTTGCAGTTTTTATGGGCGTTTTTGTGTTTTTTACAATTACTTCACCACATGCACAGCTATAGATGTTTCTTAACCAAATTTCGTATGGAGTTTCGCTGGGGGGGGAAGATGCGAAGATACAGTTTTTCAATGGAACTATAAGTGGTTGACTTGATGACAAACTATAAAAAAATCAGTAGAATCTTTATTTTGGTTGGAAAATTTGAATAGACAGAGTAATTTGACAATTTTTGACAGCAATACATAAATTTAAACAATTTCGCTGTGTTCTTTACAAAATTCTAGGTTAAATAGCTTTAAAAAAGAAGTCCTGGGCCAAAGTTATGAAAATTTCTTGGCATTTTCCAATTTTACTGCATACAGTACCGAACATCGCTTAAAAAACCGCTAAATCATAAACACACTAAAATTACTTCAAGACCTTATCAAAAGAACCCAGTTGGCCTTCTTTGGGATAAAGGATCCCATTCAGTCGAAATTGACTTCAAAACTTTATTTCCTAAAAATTGTGTTTGAAAATGCGCCCCAAAAGAAGAAAGAGATTTTATGCAGCGCACAGAAAAAAAAATTGCTAAAAGAGAGAGAGACAAAATAGAGAAAATAAGAAAGAGCATCTAGGTTGGAAAGTACCAGAGAAAGAAATGCTATTCAAATATCACAAGAAAATGAAGAATCATGACTAGAAAACTTGAGAATTCAAAGATCTCAAGAAGAAGAAAGAGAATCAAGGCTAGAAAGAGATAGAGAGAGACACGCTCATCACATATCTCAAGAAAATGATGAAGAAAGTGAATCAAGGTTAGAGACATCGAGTATCCAGAAAGCTTAAGAAAATAAACAATAAAGAGCATCTAGACAAGAAAGAGATAGGAAAAGACATGCAAATTTAAGAACAGAAAGACAGATACAGGCAAATTCCTTATATTTAGCAGCTTTTTCATATGATCCAAATTATGATTATAAAAGTTACCCAGTCTTAGAAATTGGAAGAATGACGGAAGTTTGTGTTGAATGTGGAGCTAAAAAGTGGAAAGGAGAAACAAAAGGAATGTGTTGCTTAGATGGTAAAGTCAAACTTCCATTGTTAGATGCAGCACCAGAGCTTTTAAAAACTTTGTTAGAAAGAAATTCAAGTAATTCTAAGCAATTCTGGAGACACATAAGAAAATATAATAGCTGCTTTCAAATGACGTCATTTGGAGCTACTCAGGAAATTAGAGAAAAAGGTTACATGACGTCACTTGAAATTCAATATCAGGTTTA